TCTCTCTCTACATTTGCTTTTATCTCCCGATTGCAATGAGAGGCCACAGCCTTTATCTCAGAGCCACTCTGGGAACTGACTGGTATCCCGGCCTATGCGGCCACTAGTGGTACACTTGGCACTGGACTACTAACGAGATAGTCATACACAGGTGAGGAGCACAGGTGCTGGTGCTGTATAGTGTAGTGCAATCCACTTCCCCAACATTACCTCCACTTCTCTCCCTCTCTCCCCATATTCTGTATATTACTGTTTAGTTTACTTTTAATATCCATTACTATTCCCCCAAAACCCCAAAGAGAAAGCGCTTTTATATTTGCTTTCGACTCCAATTCCGCCCATAAATACTCCGCTAATAATGTTTCGAAACATTTTAAATACTTTTTCTCTTAAACTTTTTGAAACAACAAATTCTTGTGTATTATTTGTAATTTAATTCTCTCTCTCTCTCTCTCTCTCTCTCTACATTTGCTTTTATCTCCCGATTGCAATGAGAGGCCACAGCCTTTATCTCAGAGCCACTCTGGGAACTGACTGGTATCCCGGCCTATGCGGCCACTAGTGGTACACTTGGCACTGGACTACTAACGAGATAGTCATACACAGGTGAGGAGCACAGGTGCTGGTGCTGTATAGTGTAGTGCAATCCACTTCCCCAACATTACCTCCACTTCTCTCCCTCTCTCCCCATATTCTGTATATTACTGTTTAGTTTACTTTTAATATCCATTACTATTCCCCCAAAACCCCAAAGAGAAAGCGCTTTTATATTTGCTTTCGACTCCAATTCCGCCCATAAATACTCCGCTAATAATGTTTCGAAACATTTTAAATACTTTTTCTCTTAAACTTTTTGAAACAACAAATTCTTGTGTATTATTTGTAATTTAATTCTCTCTCTCTCTCTCTCTCAAACCTCTAATACACTCTTCACTGGGATTACAAAAAATTACATCAAATTTTTTTGTCAGACAAATCTCTCTCTCTCTCTCTCTCGAGGCTCTGATCTAATAAATCCTATGCTATTATGTATTTCAAAAACATCACATGTTTTTTGGAGAAAACAAAAAACTTACAAATAATTGTTGACTTAATTTAATAGAAATTTTTTTATAAATATATTAAAAAGTATAATAAAAAACCGGAATTTTCATTATTTTTCATGCATTTATATGAATAGTCTGTTGGCGTTGACCCCATTCAACGCAAAATCCCGCAAATCAACCGAAAAATGAAATAAAATTAAAATAAAATTTTAGTTTTAAGAAGAAAATTAAAATTTAAAAATCGAGTTGTAATCTAATGTAAGCTATAATTCGATATAAAAATTTCTATTAGAAAAACAGGATTTGTTTGGAAAATGGATTTTGCATTTTAGAGATGAGGAAAAGAAGCGAAAGAAAAGTATGTTTTTTGAATTTTAAAAATATATCAAAAAAGTATTTTTTAAAACTTCTTAAGCCATAAGTCTCTTTCATTCTTAATGAGAGAGAGAGAGAGAGAGAGAGAGAGAGAGAGAGAATACGGGAGGGTAGTATTGGATATTAAAAGTAAACTAAACAGTAATATACAGAATATGGGGAGAGAGAGAGATCCGAAAATGGGAAATATAATTTAAAAAGACCAATAAATTGATTGAACACCTGTACGGGAGGGTAGTATTGGAGAAGGACATGGCTCTTGAGTGTCGGCGCCCATTAGCACAGCCCCAGTGCCAGTCACTGAGCATTTGGTTATTAAGTTATTACTTATATAATGATTATCGAGAGATATTTGTCTGACAAAAAAATTTGATGAATTTATACGTTCATAATCTATGAGCGAAGGAAATGCCATAACTTTGATGTAATTTTTTGTAATCCCAGTGAAGAGTGTATTAGAGGTTAAGGAAATCGTACGCTAAAAAAATTATGGCTAAATCTTAAGTCCATGGGCTTAAGGGACAGACCATTAAGCACTCACTCACTCTCTATCGAGAGGATCACTCTCTCCCACCTTAAGAGAGATCAACAAGTCTTCAAAACAAACGTTATTTTAGGCACAAAATTGCAACCAAAATAAAAGCAAAACCTATTTATATATGAAAATAGAGATTATTTAATAGACATCACAACAGGTAAATGTCTACACGAATGGTACATATCTTGTAAAGTAAACAATTACTCAATAAAAATGGTAACTTTATATCTGACTTGATATCCACGAGCGGCTCTCCCACGAAGATCTCTATTGCCCGGCCATCAATTAGTACCACATTCTCTCTCTCTCTCTCTCTCTCTCTCTCTCTCCCTCCCTCCCTCTCTCCCTCTCTCCCCTCCCTCTCTGTCAGTCTGTTGTTTACAACTATCGTATCGATTGTCTGATCAATAATTATAAGTTACTATTCATATCTGTTTTAGTGATCGCTATCTTAATTGGTCTCCAGAATTACTTATTGCCTCAAAACTTGTGTATTATTTTTGAGGTTATTATTGCCGCACAACTGTATACTGTATATACAGGTGTAGTAATAAATCTTTGCGATAAAATATACTTTTTCTTCTTCTTCTTGTACTTCTCCTTCATCTATGATCTCATAAATTGTGTTTTGTTTTAAAATTAAATTTTAATTATATTTTTTGTTTTAATATTTAAACATATTTATGGGATTTTTGTTATAAAAATAGGAGACAAAACACACATTAAAAGATCTATTAATTTCCAATAATAGTAATAAATGTTAATAAAAATATATATAACAATTCATCATAAAAATGAGCGCTTTTTAAATGCAATTTGTTTTCATAACTTAAAAACTTTGGAGAAAAAAATTATACATTAAATAAATGTTTAAAAAATGAAGAAAAAACATTAATTCATATTATATTTAAGACACTAATAAGAGATAGAAACAGAAAATATCATTAAATTAAAATTTAAAACGTTATATAAATCTAAGCAAATAAAACATCAAAAATTATATAAATTTACGACAGATATGTGTTATTAAACATTTTGCATAATATGTTATGAAATGAGATTTCAAACACAATTAAAGGCAACAAAAAAATAAACTCAATTAAAAAATACATGTGACTATAAACGGGCGAAAAACCATTTGTAAAAAACAACTTAAAGTAAATGAGAGTTAAGATTGAGATTGAAATGATGTGTACATTATGGTGATTATCATCAGCTCGACAACAGGTTATGGCTTATCATCATTCAAGCCCTTCATCTCCAACTTATTCTGTGCGCCGGTATTGTCAACGGCGGCGGTGACGGCCGAACTGCCCGCCAACTCTCGGGCGATGTCATCAAAAGACTTGCCTTTAGTTTCGGGCAAAAAGATGATCACAAATGGTATGGAAGCGATACAGAAGGCGGCGAACAGGAAGAATGCGAACTGCGGTGAAGTCGCCGCTTGAATCGTATCGAAGTTATGGGTGATTAGGAAAGCGCAGAACCAGTTCACGCCAGTGGCCACCGCCGACACCACACCCCTGTACTGCACGCCCGTAATCTCGTTGATCATAAGCCACGGCACTGGACCCCAGCCGAGCGAGAATGAGATAATAAACAGTACCAGACATAAGATCGGGAGCCAGCCCCAGGTGCCCCGGTCGGGATTGGCCACGTAGAAAAAGCCCAAAATGCCCAGCGATACCGCGTGACCGGCACCGGACCCAATCAGCAACATCTTTCGACCCAACCGGTCGACCAATAGGGAGCCCACGAGAGTGGCGATCACTTGGGCCACAGCGATGATGATGGAGGCGTGTGTGCCCTTCATGGAAGAGCCGGACTCCTGAATCATTTTGGCCGAGTTAAACATCACGGCATTAATACCGGAAAATTGCTGCAAAAACATCAACACCACTGACAGGACGAGCGGTTTGTAAAACAACGGATTCGTTGATTCTTGCATTGAGAAACCCTTTGAGCGTTGGGCCTCTCGGGCCTGATCTGCCAACTCGTTCAGCTCCGACTCGTTGTCGTTGTCGGCCGCGCGTAACGACTTGAGCGACTTCTCCACTCGGGAACCTTTGGAGTGATCGCCGCCCGCTTTGGTCATCAGCCATATCGGCGTCTCCGGCATCAGTAACATCAGTACACCCATAGCCAGGGGTGGGAACAGACACCAGAATGATAGCCAACCCCACGACAGGAACGCCCCGAACACATACACCAATAGTATACCGATCGTAACGCTTAACTAAATGTAGAAATTTAATACAAAATAATAATAATTTAATTTACACATTAATTCGTTGATTATTAATACCTGAAATCCAGTGCCCAATAATCCCCTAACATTTTCAGTGGCGATCTCTACCACATAAGTGGGCGCCGTTCCCGACACCAGACCAGCGCCGAGACCTGTCAGCGTTCGGCCGGTAATAATGGTGGCGAAGTCTTTGGCCAGCCATAGGCACCCGAATCCGGCCAACATTGGGATCGAGTATAATATCAACGATAGTTTGCGTCCAATAACCTGAGCCAACGGTCCTATAAGATGCACATCAATTGAATCCCAACTCTTTTACGCCACAGATTCCAACCCTTGAATCGGGTTAAGCACTTACCGGAGGCGAGTGCACCCACCAGAGCACCCAACGTTGTGCTAGACTTGATCCACGACTCGACAGTTACATCAGACCCCGTTTGGGTGAGCCGTGGATGGCTATCATTGGTGTACATGTCGGCCACAGCGGGCGAACTCCAGCCCAGAACCGTACCCATGGCTGTGGGCGTCCATCAAATCCAAACAAATTAATTAGCGATTGTTTAGCAAAAAATAATTACTTTAAAAATCATGTCATTTACTAACCAATAGCGCCCAACAGAGCGGAACCGGCGGCCAAAAACGTAAACACCGACGGCTTGCGCGTCGGCGTCGACTTTGAGCTCTCGGCGTCCGCAGCCATTGTTAACGTATTATAAGATACAGCGGACGCACTCGCAGGTGATAGTAGTGGCGACGAACTTCACAAACGTGGTAAAAAACAAGTTTCAATGAAATGCTATATCGTGTTAGCGGGTAATTAATAGTGGTTGCGGTTGTAGGTCGAGAGGGTATCACACACTGACAAATAATTAACTAGTTTGCTTTATTTCAAATATGGTTTTTAATTGTTACAGTAAGTGCGCTCACAATACACACAAACGTATGGATATTATTGCGGATAACAATAGGGGAATAAAATGATTTATATCCAACTACTCATCATTTAACACATTATCACTTATAATAATAATTAGACAAGAAATAAAGTTTACTGAATATTAATAATACTCTTGAATAGAGAATCGCTGTATGAATACAAGGTGTTTAATGTCTTAATGAGTAATGAATTTGAATGAAAAATGAATTGAAGAAATAGTTTGAATAGTTTGAAGGGTCGGACGACTAACAAGTATTTTCTCTCTCATATAATTTGTCCAATTCATAGACAGAGACGATGACTGCCTATACAAGTGTACACCAAAACCCAATGCCATTTCCCAAATGGATATCTCCGTATAAGTGCTTATATTTTATGTCAATCACTAAAAACTGGTTATTTTATTAAGTCATTAATGAATACAGTATTATATGATTATAGTATTCAGGGATAGAGAAACACACATAATATACAGACACTTACTTGTCCTTCATTTCGTTTAAAATCAATTGAAACTCATTTCGCTGTTATATTCTTGAGATTTAAGTTATTTTCCATTAATATTCAGCTAATTTTTGAGATTCACATTCAATGGTTTGTTATTGTTATTGAAATAGTTTTAAACATTTCAAACATGATTTGATCTAATCATCATTGAGTAGATTATTATACAGCGATTGATGATAAATGACACTTCATTTTACTTCTCAAAAAACTATATATTTTTTCATTGCTTTTCATTGCAAGATCTGTATTACTAACAAATATCTATATAAGTAGTTGTCTGTATTTTTTTGTCTGTCTATAGCAGTAGTTATAAATGATAGACGAGTTAATTGATCCACAATTTCACCACTCGTTAAACCCGTTGACAGACACCCAGTCGACAGACAATCAGTTTAGATTCAAACTAATCGTTAATCTAATGAAAACCCTAATAACTAAAACTTTTATATGTGAAAAGTTAAAGCCAATTGCAATGCAAAATGTTTTGTTATTTTAACGTTAAAATATTTTCCTGTAAAGAATTTTAATTGATTTAATATAATTTAAATAAATAAAATATTAGAAATATTTTTAGTTAAATAATGCCGTTTAATATTACAATTTAATAGTTTATAATACATTTTTGGTTCACAGAATATTCACCATAATATTGTATCCAATATATTATGGGTTATCGTATATAAAGCGTGGGATAAATATATGGGTAGGAAATGCCGAAAATAAAAGATAAATTCAATAAATCAATTGATCTGTAAGTATGTCTTCAGTATGGGATTCACTGACAGAGGAGTCTGTTTTGTATTGTTTGTCAATTTAATCGCTGAAAACAGATACTAAACATTGATATGAATTCAATTCATTTCATTCATCCTTTTAATTGTCGGCATTTCTATTGCTGTCAATAAGTTTGACAACAAAACCGTTTCGTTAATTCAAACGTGGATTTAATTGTTGAGTAATTATCCAAACAATAGTCTCACATTGTTTTCAATCAATACAATTAAATGTGTTTTTATCCCTTATTTTAACCCAAAACTTTGTTTTTCATCAAAATATACAACAAATCAGCAAAATATGTATTTTTCTTGTCATTACATTATTTTGAGTGTTATTTTTCATAACAATTGTTAATTAAATTCAATAAACATTATACACAAGAATATATATTTTCATTATATTTATATTAATTTATATTAATTATAGTAATCAACAAAAAAATATTTACCATTAATAACAGTGTATTTCTTAATTATAACAGTGTTTTAGTGTTCAACCAAAAAAAAATCAAAGAAAATAAGTTACAAATATTTGTTAAGTTATCATTATTTATACAAATAGTAAAATAGTTTTTGCTTTCAATCAAAACTTTCATTTCAATACAACATATGAAAAACCTATAGAACTAATTGAGAAATAAATTAAAAAATGTTTTACAAAATATATTTGCAATTAATTTAAAGCTATTTGTAAAATATCTCGTCTCAGAAGAAGTTGTCTGTCATTTACATAAAGGATAAAAACGTCGATTAAAAGCGTGTCTTAATTGATAACCAATTGTTTTAATCAACGAAACAAAAAGCGTTCAAAAAATGTTAAAATAATTAATAAATTAATTACAAACAACTTGTAATTGTGTTTTCCTAATCACATATTAAAAGTGGTTTTAATTAAATTAATCGTTAAAATTAATTAATGACACACTCAAGGCTTGAGTAAATTCCCAGATATATGGGTTAATCGGTTAGCACTCGGATTATTAATCCCTTTAATCCGTTTTTATACCGCATTTCACTATTAAATCAGAGATTGATATCTTGTGTGAGATTTTTCAAAAATATAAGGCATTAATAAAGTACTCAAAAAACAACGAGAGATTAATTAAGTGTTCAAATTAATTATAATTAAACTAAACCTACAAATAGTTAGATCTTAAGGCGTATAGGGAGGCGGCGGCGGCAGCGGTGACACCGACGGGTGGGGTGGCGGCGGCTGTCCCACCGATGGGAACGTCATTAGCGAACGCGACGCTGAGGTCGGGAACGGTTGCCACGAGTGATGGGTCGGCGATACAGTGGTGGCCGCCGACGTCGCGGACGGAGAGGTCACGAGTTCGTCGTCCAAGTCGTCGGTCCAGAAGGCGTCGGTGGCGTCGATGTAATAGTGTTGCGGTCGACGCAACAGATTAGACGCGGCGGCGATGATCGCCAACAGACCCGAGAAAGTCACCAAATAGTAACTCAACTCAAACTTCACTTCCACGTGATTGACAGCGGTGTCGGGCCCGCCGGGGGTCGGCAATGACGCGGCGGCTGAACCGGCGCTCAAAATGATACCACTGGCGGCGGCGGTGTTGTGCTGTTGTTGCTCTTTCAAGAGCCGGTGCTGTTGTTTCTCCAGTAGTGTGGAGACCAGGTATGAGACGCCGACAATCACCACACATAACAGTACACCCAATATGTTGCCCAACGCGTGGGCGCGGATGGCGTTCAGCCACTTCTTGTGGACGCCGAGTGTGTCGAAGAAGAACTGAATTAAGTTAAACATAATGGCGAAGAAACAGAGACCGATGATCAGCCGCTGCAGTGTCACGATCTCGGGGGTCACGCAGTTCTTGAGGTCACCGTTCAGGCCATAGAGTATGATATTCTCGCTGTTCAGCTGACGCTCCACCTCTTTGGGGTCCAGCGGCTCGACGGACCCTCTCTGGTGGTTGTAAACGCTTCCAGTTTTACCTGCGATGCGAGTATTGACATAAATGCTTATCAATTGTTTACAATGAAATCGACAAAATTAAATAAACAAATTGTAAAAATGGTAAATTCATTAAATATTTATTTTATAAATTGAAATTAAATCTCTCTCTCTCTCTCTCTCTCTCTCTCTCTGTCTCTCCAATTGAAAATCTAATCTTTAATTGCATTAATTTCAAGGGTTAACACATTTTGAATATAATTAAAAACATTAAAATTAAACAAAAGGAAAAATATGTTACTCAAGAAATAACTGATAATAAAAAATAACAAATTATTATTAAACTAATGCCTAAACGACTGTCTGTTCACGCATTTCGTGTATGTTTTCAATTGATTTTCAAATTAATTATAATTCACAACAAAATAACCAATTGTTTAAAAAAATCAATTTTTCATTCATTCGCAAAAACAAACGCAAAGTTTTCAAGACTTTCAAGTAATTTAAGATTAATGGAAAATAAGGACTAAATTAATGGCAAACAAATAACGCTTAAATTTAGTTAACACTTGAAAATAAATTTGATAATTTGTTTTATTAATTATGTGTAAAAACCATTTCTAATCGCATAGAAATCACAGAAATAACTAAAAGTATAAAATCTTTCGTTTAAAATAAAGATTAAAATAATTGTCAAAACAAGTGATGACACGAATTGATAGCAGCAGCAAAAGTCTTAACAAAAATATCAATTAAAACATAATTAAAACTACGAAATGAAAATCTATTAGTATTTTGTAATTTCAATTTCAAGAGTAAATTGGCGTCAAAAATATCCCAAAAACAACTGATTATTATCGCAAAAACCATTGAAATTAATACTCTTAGCCAAATCTCTTTGGCTCAAAAACATTCAATAATCACAAGACATTTCCAAAGCCCATAAACAACTAATTATCTGTTTAAATGGTTAATGACATCCAGATATCACAACCAATACTATACTGGTATTTACTAAACAACAAAACCCTTTCGTGACCTCAAAGCCAATTGACGCGTGAAAATAATCGACGGATAAACACAATCGCACACAAAGAGTATTAATAAATATAGGGATCAATTAAAGTGATCAAAATGGGGGGAACAATAAGGATAGCATACCTTTATTGACATCGAAGTGATAGTTATTGAAGTTTCCGACGTAAAAGAACTCCTGAAGACCGATGTATTTGCGCGGACAGAGACCGCCGTTGATTGAGAACCACTTGGGTTGGGCCAGAGCTGTGGCCAGCGTTGCGATCACCACAATAGACATGATCGCCGACAACACATTGCGTTCTTTGTCCACAATTACGTTATGATTATTACTATTTGTATTACTATTCATATGGGATACGAATCGGTGGCCGCCGTCGCGGTTCAGCGACCAGTTGTTATACGAGCCCAACAATAGCGGGTAATGAGACGAATGCCTGTATAGGTGTGAGTGCGGCGGTCGGGACAGCGAGTGCTCACCGCTATTGACGGCCACACCTGCGGTCGCCGTCGGACTGAGCGCTGGACTCGCGTTCACAGGCGTACTGTCCGTCGAAGACGAGCCAAACAGCGATTGCGACGACTCTCGCCTCGTGGGCGGCGGCGGTGGTGGCCGTCGATGGCTGTGGATGTGGTGATGATGTCCGCCACTATGACTCGTATCCATCGACGTCTCGTCGGATGGCCGACGGCTACCATCGGTGGAGTCGGCGATTGTCTGCGAGGCGGAGGACCTCCTATTGCGCCGACGGTCGCCACGCAATCGCATCCAAGACATGTCCAACGATCGCAAGTTTGCGGGCAATCGGGTGACCATCGATTGGATCCGATTGTAGTACAAACGGGCGGTCGTATTGTTGTTGTTGTTGTTGTGGTGATGATTGACCTCTTGAGCCATGGCTTGCATTCACAGATATAGAGACACACTATTGAATCGAGTGATGACTATCACCACAACGGTTCCGACGGCTGATTGCGCTCAAGAAGTGGCCATAACTTTGACGACACAATTAGTGACACAAATAAGAGTCAAAACTGAAAACCACAACAAATTGCAGACATTTTTGATCTCATTTTTCTGATGGCATAACAAATGACAACACATTTACTCACGTTTTATATGCCTTTTAATTGCCATTCAATGCATTCAAAGCGTTATAAATACTCAAAACACACATAAATAACGTCAACAACTCTTTGGGCACCAATTGTTTGTGGTTTGAAAACCATGTGTTTTGCTGTAAACAGAGTTTAAAAGTTCTTAAACTTTATCTTCAGATTTTACTCATGAGTTTTATCGTGAACTTTGTGTCCCGACGGCTGAAGAACTTGAAATACAGGACTCGACAGCGCGGATGGTATAAGCGATTGCAGACCTATCTGTGGCCAAACCATCCCTACAGCTATCCATTCAAATGCCGCCGATATATACCCGAAACGGATCTCTATCTGAAGGAAAGAGTGGAACAGTTGGGTGACGTCCAGCCGCTGACAGTCGACTCTTACGCCCATCTCATTGTGGATCAGCGCTCGGAGACAATCGTCAACGAAGTGGTCAACTATTTTAACCGATGGCTAATTAAGTCACGCTTTTGTCCGCAAGTCGTGACCCGAGAGGACATGGATTACATGATAACACATATCGACG